GTCTTTTGAAAGAGCTAAAGGTTTTATGAGCCTTAATTCTGCTTGAAATCAGAGAATCATAGGATGGTTTGAATTGGAAGAAACCTTAAAGAGCACCTAGTTACAACTCCACTTCCATGGGCAGGGATGCCACCCACCAAACCACCTTGGTCAAAGCAGCCTTCTCCAACCAGGTCTTGAGTTATGGTAACTGAATTCTGCCATAATTTCCCACGTGCTTAAATAGTGTCATACTCTGATTAGATGCATTGATACTTTGGTATTTTTTAACTCATGATAAGATGCATTATTGCAAATATTCTGCTGTCACACTACATTTCATTCATAGGTCTGCAATTGCCTGCATTTTAATCATGAATATGACAACTCCCTGGTGTGGTGTTTATAATTTATAACATAGTTTTAAATAATTCTGCCCCCTTCATTCAAAATTTTTGGATCTTCGTTAAAGAATGGTTTGTAAGTGTTGAAAACTTCAAAGTTGCTGTATGTTTTTATCTGCATTCCTTGTGGCTTAGTTGGTACAGAAGTACTGGATTCAAATATGGCATTGAAAGAGTCAGATCAGGTGTGCAACTAATAAAATCTGGAGGATACTTCTGGCTTATGAATCTTTTAGTTGAGTGAAAAGACACGTTACCCCTCAACTGCTGACAGCTGCAGGCTCTAGGATCACCCTTTTCTTTGAGCTTCTTTTCAGTGCAGACCATCTCCTTTTACTGTCTCACTAATGAGTATTCAACTAACTTAATATCTTCCATGTCAACCTACTTTAAGCAAAGAACCTTGTGATCCTGAGATGCTATTTACAAGGCTTTGTAGGAACTTTTGTCTTCATGTTCCTTCTGAAGGTGTTTTAGCAGCAAAGTTTCTGGTGTGATAGTAACCCTGTGTCTGTCCTTGGTGTTAAGCTGATCAACAACTTTGGGATTAGGAGGAAATTTTTCTGCAGGGCACACAGGAAGGGGTAGTTGTTTCTTGTGATGCTTCTGAGAATTTTCATGGCTTTTGAAGTGAGCAATGTGATGGTGATGACTTCTGTCTCTCTCCTGCTGTATTCTGATGTGCTGCAGTCGTGGCCTTAGCCTCTACATTTATGAGGCACTCTCATTCTGTTCCTGTACAGCGTATGAAAAACTGAAATTTCCAAGACCATGAGCATTACCTGATGCTCGGAGTATCACACCTTGGAAAACCTTGGAAGAGGACCTCTAATTTTGCCCTTGTTTGGTTGTCACTCCTGGAGGTGATCAGACATGCCTCCTGGAGTCATGCCATTCTGGAAGTTCCCCTCTGTGTCTTAGTTTGACTCTTAATTTAGGTGCTGCAGGTTGGAGGTAATTTCCTCTAGGGCTTCTTTAGTCCGTGGAGCACAACATGAGCTGTTGCAGGGCAAACTAGGTTATTTTCTATGGAGAGTTATTTTCTCTTCTGCCCATCCAAGCAACCCTGTGAGACCTCTCATGCATCCTGCAGCCTCTGAAGTTATGGAGTATGAATACTTCACTCCTCCTTTCCCTGATGCCCAGTGTTTAATGACTGACTTTGCAGCACTGTTTTAATGGTGCTGGCTTCCCATAAAGAGCCACAGAGCAATTGTTACTTCAGAAGTTAATTTTGTCTGGAAAACAAAAAAACGTTTGTTGTAACTCAGTGACATTAACGTATATTTTTAGAATAGGAAATAAAAATAGCTGTTTCCAATGGAAGCAATTGACAATAACACAGAAATCAGATGAGTGATATATGCCCTAGGAAAAGTATTGTTTTCATCATGAGAATGTATTAGTAATTGTTTATCCTGTGTCTCAATCTGTATTAACTTGTAGCATTACAGCAATTTAATTAGCAGCCATTTCAACATGGCTTTTTTTTTCTGTTGGTGCCTTATGCACCTGTATCTGCTCAATAATAATTTATAAGGAGGAGAGGTGTATGTGTGTGAGGGGGTTTGTTTTGGAGAGGGTGGTTTTCTGGTGTTTGTTTTGCTAGTCATTTTTTGTGTTTGTTGGCAGGCCTGTGTATGGTAGTTTTTTTGTTTGTTTGTTTGGGGTTTGTGGTGTTTTTTTGGTTTTGTGTTGTTGGTTTTGTGTTGTTGGTTTTGGGGGGGGGGGGGGGCGTTTAGTGAATATTCTTTTCTAAGTTGGGTAGTTAGAGCTTTGCTGAGGAGGCAGCCTGAGGAGCAAGTGCTTCCTCAGTACATGAACAGAGCACTCCAGTTGGTAGTTTTGTCAAGATGTCATATCAGCAATAAAGCTACTTGCTAAACAGGTATAAAAGGTAATAAAACACTTTTATTAGTAATGAGAAATACTTTTCTTGGGAGAAACTGAGAAAAAAATGACTTCATTAAAATATTAATTAAATCAAGTGATTTTTGACACCTCTTTAAGACCTGAAGGTATATTCTATATGATAAAACAGTGGCATAGTTCATTTTATATATTACACCAGTGTTGCTTCGAAGAAATAAAACAATTCTCACTTTAATGCTTCTAATGTTAAGCTAGCCTGGCATTGCATATTAACAGCATTTTTCTCCAGCTTCTCAGTCTTCTCTCTCTTGTCAATGCCATCTGCTTGCTTGTTTCACCACCTCTTTAACAACCAGGTGATTTTTGCCATCTTCACCCTCCTCCTCAGTATGCCCAGCAGCCCATTTGGGTTTATGGGGTTAGTGTGCTAAGTAATATTCATATATTTATGTAAACATGCTCCTGATTCTAAAGAACCTTTCTCCATTTCTAGCTCATTAGCTTCTAAATCTTCCTGTGTCGGGGCGTACAGCTCTGAATTATTTTACTGGTGTCTAATCTCTTGTTATGCCAGCTGGTTTTGTTGATCTGTAATGTATTCATTTATCCAATAGGTTCTACTGTAGCAAAGCACTTAATTTTAAAAGTGCAGGTAGACTTGGTGTGAAAAGGATGTAATTAGCTGAAAGCTAAGCACTTGCCTAAATGCTTTGCTGGATTAGAGGCTTAGGAAAGAGATGAGAAGATTGGTCTAATTCTGTTGAATTTGTTTTAGAGCTGTTTTATCCTAATAGCTTTATCACCAGACCAGTGCTGATTATGGATATTCGGCATAGAAGATTTTTCACATCTTGTCAGGCTTTTCATAGACTCATAGCTCTCCTGGTTTTTTTTGAAGTGTAATCTTCAGCATGGCTTGCATAAGAAAATGTATCACTGCCTCTTAGGGAAGTGACTTCAGGGAAGCCATGTCTTAAAAAATTGGATGTTGAAGGCAATGAAAAACTCATGTCACCAGTTCATTTAATTTTCACATGCGAGGAGTGCAAAATATTTATTCTTTAGGCTACTGCAAGTTCAGATTGCAGTAGCCTAAAAAATTGAGGTGTCAGGAGATCAGATTGACCAAAAAAATGGGGAAATAGATAAAGCAAATTACATAAGTTAAATTCTGCTCTGCAACTAATTTGGGCTGAGCAATTGTTAGAACTATTGGGAATAAAAGAAGGATGTAAACCACTGAAAATAAAAACTGAAGAATTTTCTAGCTCTTACCTGCTGATGTTTGCCTTCCATTCCTAAAATCTGTGTCCGCACTCTCACAGATGCAGGGGTATTTTTAGGATTTGATTTAACTCATGGTCACTGAAAAACTGCCCTAAATCAAAAGTTGCAAGAATTGCTGCTACTGCTTCCTTAAGACAGAGCTGACCTGGACTGGGGTTTTGCTTTTCCCACTGCTGGGTGGCAGGGGCACGAGGCATTACGGAGACCAGAAAGCCACATAGTAGCCCCAGGTGTTTTCAAAGAAAAGGACATGTGTTGAGTTGCCTTTGCACATCCTTCCTCTTCTGCAGTGTTTAGCTTGGATCCTTTATCATTTCTGCAGGTGTAGCAAGCTCATCATGAAATTCCCACTATGCATTTTCCTGTGTGTTATTTTTCAGAGGCAAGGACTATGTTGTGGTTCTTTTTCCCCCCTTGCTCCTGCTTACATGAACGTTTGTCATCTTTATCAAGCATGGCACTTGAGCAAAAGCTTAATTTGATTGCTCTGCCTAGACACCAAGATAGAAATGGGCTTAGACACTCCTGAAAAAGTGTGAGTTGAAGCAGATGTTTAGTGCTTTCCAAGATGAAAACCATGTAAGTGCATTCTCAGAAAGATTATTCATCGTTGTTTTTTACAATCTATATCATGATAGGGAGAAGGAGGAGAAAAGAAGGAGAAAGCCACATAGTGATAAGTTTGCAACAGCTTCTCTGGGCAATAGAGGGTCCCAGGCTTTTGCCTTACTTCTGTTCTTTAACAGGCTCAGAGCAGACAGTAGTGGGTAGTAAGAAACTCCCAGCTGTTTGCAGCTCTGTCCTGCCTTGTGGTGAGCCCTTGTCCTCTTTGTCTCTTTTTCCTTCTATGTCTCCTTAAAATACAAAGGCTGATGAGGTGAGGACTGACTCTTGTTCTGTCTTTGACCCTGCCTGCCAAACCCAGGGGACTTTCTCCCCTCTGGCATCCCAAAATGTATTTGTAATACAAGTAATTGTTAAGAAATTTCTCTCTTGTCACTCAGTCATCTACAATTTGGGGACTGTGTATTGGGGACTGACTAACCACTCCATCATTAATATAACAGAAGTCTGACAGGTATGTAGACAGTTTCAGGTTCTATGTGCAGATAACACTGATATTTTCAGTGATGGTTCAGGTTCTTGATACTTGACCTTATCCACCTTGTGGACACTGTTGAAAGGTCTCAGAAGTGTCTCAAGTGAAAAACTCAGACAGAAGCCTGCAGTTCCAGGAGGGCATTGGAAATGATGGTTTGATGTCCATACAGCTTTCATCACCATGGGTTGTCTTCTGCCTTTCCAATATGTGTCAGCACAAGATTCACACTTTGGTAGTACATGAGGTCTGAGGGATGTCAATCTTAATTTACACGTGTTGTGGGCTATGTCCTCAGCTGTGAAGCTGTATGGATAGTGCTTTCTGCCTCACATCAGTTTTCTTTTTGTCTTTTGCAGCACTTTTACAAGCAGTCATATCTGGTGATCTACTGAAGGTAGGTACAGTGCACTGAGTGCCCACTTACAGTTTTTTTCCAGTCAGATATGCTGTACATTTTATTACACCTCTGCTCAAATCATAAATAGGCTGCTGTGGGGACTTCTGGCAAGTGCCATTTTACAGCCTTTCCAGGAAACCCTGAATACTAGGGGAACACATCATTCAGGTGAGGTGTGAAATTTGCGTGAATAGGATCTGGTGTTAGCCAGAGCCTTTTTGCCTAGGATTCAGAGCCCACTGCACAGAGCAATGTGCCAGTTACTAACAGGGAAATTACTATATTGGCAATGTTGAACAGCAGGGTAGTTCTGACACAGCCTTCCACAGGAAAGGATATTTTACACCAGTGAGGTCAGTGGCCAAGCCGCCAAGTGCTAGCTCTCTCAAAGTCTACCTAGGCAACCACCAGTCCAGGTAGAACAAACCTCAGCTGGTTGTTTCATCACCTGATGGATGTCTCAAAACATGTAGTGCCTTGATATAGTATGTTTGGGAGGAAAAATTACTCATGAAAATTTTTTGTGCCAATGACTGAAGTCCCACGTCAGACAGCTGTTCAGGCTGCCTGCCTCAGTAGCCAAGTCAGGATCTGAAAACATGCTCTTGAATTTGGATGAGGACTGTGATTAATGGTTGCAATTTTATCTGTGAGAAGCCAGCTTGGAGCCATTTGTAAAAATGACAGTGTTGTTAGGCCAACTTTTTGCCTGCAGGTATTTTGCCTCCCTTCTATACCACTGCCTCAGCTCTTGTGGCTGCAGCATCTAGGGAGCAGTCCTTCAAGTAGTCATAAAAATATTGTCTCCTTTACACTTCTCGAAAATGTTTTGGTTGAGCTGGCTTTGATGGGGAAACTCCTTGCCCTTCTTCAGATGCACTGCATCACAAGTGAGTCCTCACTGTAGCAATTCTCTCAATTTGCAAAAACCTGTCCCCCAAAGCTTCCAGCATTTCTGAGACCTGCCTGCCTGCAGCTCCCCTCTCATTCTTACCCCACTTAATGTTTCCTCCTCAGCCAGCCCTGAACAGGGGCACTGTGAGAAAGGACGTCCATGACAGCCACCTCTCCTCCTTGTGGAATTTTGAATTGCAGTTTTCTGATTCAGTCAGAAAATCTTTGACTCCTGTGCTGAGGAAAAATTTGAGTCCTCAGCAAAAAAGCCAGAATTTTATATCAAGTACATATATTTTAAAATACCCCAACAGTGTTGCCAGATGTGGTTTGAAAGAATTCTTAGCAAGCAATAAATCATCAGCAGTAGAGTAGCAATATCTCATTGTTTAGGAAATACAGACTGTTCTCCTTAACCCATACAATTGTCAATACTTCTGGTTTCAGATGTTTTATATCTGGGCCTAAATGATGGCTTTAAATTAATATTTTATTTTATTTTATTTGGTACTGACTTGCAATGAGAACCAGAAGAGAAGTTTTGTTTTTCTGCTCCTCCCATCTTATCCTTCTGTCTTTTTTTCTCTTTGTTTTATTTTTTTGTTGTTGTTGTTTTTTTGTTTTTTTTTTTCCAGTTCATAGAATGTTGTAAAAAAGGAGCCAATTTGTTAATCCAAGGACCTGATCACTGCTCCTTGTTGCACCATGCTGCCAAGACTGGGAACGGCGAGATTGTGAAATACATTCTGGAGCATGGTGAGTCTCAGCAGACAAATCCACAGAGAGCTGTACCCCAGCCAAGTGTCAGGCAAAACCACACTGGGCTGCTGGAAGTGGCCTCACTCATCTGTGGTGTCCCTCAGTGAAATGTCCACCTGCAGCATGTGTGAGCAGAAGGCTGGGAATGGGGTAGCAATGAGAGTGATGGCACCAGTAAAGTGTATAAAGAAGAATTAGAATGGCTTTTGAGGAGGATGGGGTGTTTTCACATTTGCATCAGCTGGGGGGCTGTGAAGAAGCAGTGTGAAGCTTAGTTAAAACCTCTGGCACAAGGATCCTCTGAACTGTTTTCCAATTAGAGCATATGTTGTAGAAGGCATCTAATCTCTATTAAAACATTTACAGTGACAAAGAGCCATTACAACCATAGTTATTATTTCAGCCTTTTAGTAACACACTGGTCAGGAATCTGCTTCCTTACTCCTAGACAAATTAATCTGACTTCCATTCCAGCCTTAGAATATTATGTCTGTTAGATTCAAGACCACCCAACAGCAAAAACTTATGATCTCCATTTTGTATTTATGGACTGTGATCATGCCATTGCCCTTTTCTTTTTTCCTTTTCATTCTTCTTATCTTTGTCAGTAGCAGAGATTGCAGGCTATGCAGAAATTTTTTTGTGTCTGAGGCAGTCACATTTAGGAGCTTTGGCCTGTTGAACCACTGCAGCCTTGTTCCCTCACTGCTGGAGAGTGGCACAGTAAAATAGTCACTGCCTTGCACGTAGAGCTGAAGTCACAGTTATCAGCCTCCTTTACTGTAGGAAAAGTTTTCTAGTCATAACTCTTCTCTGACCCCACTTCAAAATATCAATGGGTATTTTGGCTTATGAATGTCAACATCAGCTACATTATTTCAGCAGAGGTGTTAGTGTGAATACGGAGAATTAAAATAAATAAGAATTTTGGTAATTAGAATAAGTGTTAGCAATTGATCCAAGATATCGCACAAATTGTAGAGAGAAGAAAAAAGCACAACTCCTAAGAAAGGAAGAAGCAGCAATGCATCTCTTCAATCTTGACCCCTAAGTTATGTGTTAACATTTAGGTGTCAGGTATTCTATAGGTCCAAGTTACTATATTGTCAGCAGCAATCTGGGACTTAATTCATTTTCTCTGGTATGACAGAGGCACTTTTGGAGGCAGATGGAAGTGAGGAGGGCATCCTTAATAGCAGCAGGCTTCTAGCATGGCTAACTCAAAGGGCATCTTAGTCAAGGTAGTCATTGGAGCCCAGAAAGTGATTCAGGCAACAGTTACCTCTGCACTTTATTCATATAGATAAACATAAATTTCTAATGTCATTTTCCCTTGGATATCCAGGACATTTGCTTGGGTCTACAAGATAAAACACAAGGCCCAGAGGAGGCCTGACCTGCACTGACAGCCAAAGCCCAAGCAAGCATCTCTGTCATTCCAAGTGCATCCCAAGGCTTGCCCATAGGTATATAAAACAGCACAAAATATCTGTGTGTGGACAACTGAACTGTGCACCAAAAATCTGACTGAGAGGGTCTGAATTGTTCTTTTACTCCTTTATGTATAGATACCTACACACAGGCAGGTCAGTGCAGTTGGCCTTATATCCAAATAATGACTGGTTTTCTCACCAGTTCTAACAAATCTTACCAGTGCCAGCTCTACCTCCTATTTACCAGCTCTGGATTGTTGCATTTGTCACAGTGCACATATGTGCCACTGAATTCTGTAGACAGGCATAATATTGCTTTATTTTCTTACTGGCCCTGGTCTCTTCTCACACTGCACATGGCCCGTGCCAATTCACTGTCATCAATGCCTCTCTAGGATTTTTATTAGACACATATACTTTAACTCAGCCACAGTCTGACCCAGTTACTGTTCTTTTGGTGAACATTTGAAGTGAGATAATTTAAACTGATAAGAATGTAAGCAGGGAATCCATGGGAATTTTTGAAGTAAATAGAGAAATGTGAGGGATTACGGACTGTTAGACAAAGACAAATCAGAAGGCTGAGCAAATGTCAGCTCAGTTCCTCTCTCCCTCCTCTATCCCCAAGGATGGCAGGAAGCTTTTGTAGCTTTCCAGACATATGTCCTCTGGGCTTCTCCAAATGCATTGTTTTGGGGATCAGGGAGTGCATGGGACAATGCACAATCTAATAGAGGCCTCCTCTCTTCTCCCACCAAGCAATTAATGAAACTCATTTCTACTCTGCGCACTTCTCAGCCACAAACGAGCTCTCTTGCTGAGTCATCATCACATAATGCCCTTGTTTTTCTTTGCATTCTCTTGCATTTGGCATCTTCTCAGCATTAATTACTGTACATGACCTGATCCAATGCTACTAATATCTAAGGGTTTCCCTGTGTGGAGCTTCTTCATTCTTCCAATATCCACCCATAAAATTTTCATAAAAATGAGTCTTACTTCTGTTCTGGCAATTACCTCTGCCCAGTCACACTTCCTCTGCTTCCCAATACATGGCTGAGGATAGTGAATGATAATGGGAGTTCCACTGTAAAATACCCTCAAGCGCACTGTACAGAAAATAGAAATAATAGAAAATCTATTATTAACCACACAGGGAAAAATCTTCTGAATATCTCTAAAAAACAACAGCAACAAAAGAAGACAAAACCCACTGCTCTAGGAACTTTAACTTTCTATTCTGAACAACAGTGGGATGAATCCAATGCAATACAGGAGTGGCACCCGTAGAACTAGAATTACAAAGGAAGAAAAACAGTGTAGTGGTGCTAAAGCTGTCCTTTGTGGAGATGGCTTTCTGCAAACATGCAGGGCACATTTATATGAAAGATTATTCTGTGATCATAATCAGAATGATTTCAGATGTTAAGGGGAGGAAAATAACCTATCTTAAATTAGAAATAGCTGGGATGAGTCACACAGGGGGACTGCTGTGCAGTGGTGCCAGATAATTCACAGTGGCCCAGCACAAGCCTGGAATAGCAGCTGAAGCACCAATGTAGTAGATGTCAGGGCAACAGCTGCTTGCTGCTGCAAGAAGAGCTGTGCTGGCTGCTGCTCCAGTAAAACAGTTTGTCTCTATCCCCTGTGCAGGAAAGGCAGATACATGGAGACACAGACCTATTACTCATTAAAGACTGCCTACCTAAATCAGGAGTCTTCTGCTTTTAGTAGGAGGATCAGCTTTAAAAACTTGTCTGTAGCTGAGGTAAGAAATGCTTAGCTAGAAACTGAGGGCCAAACTCAGTAGTGTTTGGCCAAACACAACCACAGCTTTTTAGTGCTGCAGTCAGCAACTGCATTGCATCCTAATGCATGTATGTTAGACAAGAGTTAACTGTATACTTGCTTAACACAAGCAGAATTGAAGAAGGCTTAAAGAACATCTGTTAGAAAAGGGGCCTCCTAAATAATATGTATTTGGTATCATACTTGGATTAGAGTCTTTATCGGGTAGCTGTGAAAAATGTGTAATTTATAGACCTTATACAAATAATTCCATTTGCCTTTGTCTTCTCTAGACATTCAAAAGACAAGCAAGAATTATAAAGTTCATCTGTGGTATTTTGATTTTAAACAGAAGAGAGGAAAGATGTTTACAGTTGCCTTAGGAGGTTGTGGTGGGAACTTCTGCTGCAACAGACAGTACATAGGCATCCCATCCCTAACATTTGTGTGTCCTCAAACCTCAATGGCCTTGTTTCACTAGAAGGCATCCCCTGATTAAAAACATGATGATGCTTTCATTACTCTTAGCACTGCAAAGTCCAGAGCTAGGAGCCATCAGTGATTTGCATCCTGATAAGATTCAGAAGTTCCTTGGAAGGCTTTGGGAAAGCAAATTTTGCTGTGACAGAGATGTGTGTTGGGGGAAAAGTTTGAATAGTTACTAGAAAGCAGCACTGAATGAGAGTGAGTTTGCACAGCACTTGTTAGTATGTCTAGATTTGCAGAATGTTTTAGGGTAATGGTCATTTGTGAGGAGCCTGAGCAGAAAACAGTTCAGTTTTACTGGAAGGCACAAGGTATAACATAGTATATTTTAATTTCAGGCATACCAAATTTTTTGGGCAACGTGGCTGACAGGCATGTAGGAAGGAATGCTCCCATAACCTGTCTAGCATCTATATTATAGTGGAAATTCTGAGCTAAAAGACACTAGCAGAAAAGACCACTGTTAATTTTCCCATCAGGTAAAAAAAAAAAAAAAGAAAAAAAGAGAAAGACTTGAAATAGTTCTTAATTTCCAGTTTACTGTTATTTTAAAAATAATCCTACTTTGAAGGTAAGGATCCACATCCAGTTTTGTCCCCCAGATAATAACCTCAATCAGATTATTAAACAAAGAGGGTTTTAACAGAGAAGCATTCAGAAATGTTGATAATGTCTGTCATTACCGCTTAGAGTAAATACCCTTCTTCCCCAGTTCTGTGGAAGACTGACAGGACATGGGACTGGCAGGGGTTAATATCTGTGGATGTCCTGTAGGTAGCTGTAACCACATCCATTGGAGAGGGCTAAGCTGTGGGCTCAGAGGCCTTTCAAGTATGTATGGAGCTGTATATTTTGGAAATGCCTCTGAAATATGGTCACTTAAAGCGTTGGGGTATTTTTTATTATAGTGAGCTCAGTGAAGGAGCAGCTGCTTTTGAGTCTCCTTGCCTTCCCTCCTCCCATACCCAGCTCAGGCTGCTTTGCCTTCTGAGAAACTGGAGAAGGGCTTTGGTAGAGAGAAAGAGGGCAAAAGGAGAGAAGAAAAAAAGTTAATAATTCTACACAGACAGTCTATGGGCAATGTTGAGGAAAGAGAGTGATCTCAGCTGGGCTTCCCCTCAGTGTGTCATGCTTTTCAGCTCTTTTCAAGTGAATATCCCCCCCAACCCCGTCCCCCATCCCCATCCTGCCATTCTTCAGCCCCCCAGTCTCTTTTTCCCTTTCTCTCTCTCTTTTTTTCCTCCCTCCACCTCTCCACACATTTCTATCTTTTGTTTTTATTTCCCCCCCTGCTGTTTTCCTTGATAGAAATCTCACTCATGCATTTCCCTTCCGGATTTCTATTGGGTTATTTTGTCCTCTTTCTCTCCGTGCCTTGGTCCCCTTTTCTTTCTCTGCCTCTTGTCCCAGAGCGAAACAGCCGCCTCCCCGCTGGGCCAGGATGACAGTGCCGTCAGCTTTCCCAGTGCCAGCCCTTCCCACATCTGTGCAGCTTTTGTCCCCGGGCAGAGGGGGATTTGGAATGGTCGGTTGGCAGCGCCAGGGAGACTGATATAAAAATGAGGTCCAAAAAAGAGGGGAAAGGGAATTAGGAGGAGGGCGTGAGATGGTTTAAGAGAAGCACAAGTGAAAATAAAATAAAGAAGTAAAGGGCACCGCTCAGGCTGCGAGTTGGGACATTCCAGCTTCAGAGACAGGCCAGAGAGAATGAAATTAAAGAATCCTGGTACCATGTTGTGCAGCTAATTATTAACCCCAGTATCTGGCCCCTATGTATGACTCAGATGGAGTCAGGGCTCTCCCATGAAATGCTTAATTTGTGACAGTATCCAGGAGAGCGCCCTTCACACTTAGGCGGGGTGTACTTGTCATCCCCTCAAGTCTGTACTCACAGACCCCCGCGGTCCTCAGCACTGAGCTCCTCTGTCCCAGCCCTGCTATTTCTTCCTGCTTCACACCAATTTTCCTTTACCCTTGGCTTCTCTCCAGACCCACTCTGCTCCAGCTTTCTTCTCCCTCTCAGGTCATATTCTTCTGAATACTCTCTGTTTTACTACCTCTACTTATCTTTTATCAGCTTCTTGTGCTTACCTGGGCAAGTACCTCTATGTCCCATAAAGCCAAACCTGTCACCCTGCTCCACCTTGGCAATACAACCTTCCTTGCTCCAACCATGAGCAGAAATACTAGGTGGCAGTGTCTTCTCTACTCCTGCTTACCTGTCACTGGGATGTGGCATTGCAGGAAGCTACGGGGAATTACCTTTATTTTTGAGAGAACACAATTTTCTCCTAGGAAATGTAAAGGAGTCCTTTTCTTCATATGTATTTCTTTAGTTGTCTTTTTAGTTTCTCAGGCATTATCTTTTTTTCCTCTCAACAAGAGGCTATGATTATCCACTTTATCCTTCTACATAGTCCTGTGAGCTCAGGGGTAGTGACTGATTCTTCTTTTTGGTAGGCAGGAGTGAACAAGCAAGTTCCAAGTGTGGAGATGAGGATGTGTGGTGGTAGAGTCAGGCTGCATTAAATAATTAGCAATGCCTACTGGGTTTGGAGAACTGTCATGACAAGTATGCAGTGGTACACAATGCCCTGTGCACTGTGGACTAAGCACCACCCTTTCTCATGATGACAGAAGATGAAATGAAGGAGCTGCATGCAGCTCCAGGAGCCCCAGTGATGCTCCATGTGTACATTGTAAAAGCAGTGAGGTAAAGACAGGCTGCTCTGATCCATTTTGACACACACTCAGAGTAAAAGGAGTGTAGAGAAGTTGTGTGTAGGCTTTTGTAAGCAGGTAGTGTGAAATTCCTCAGTTTCAGGTGAGATTTGCTGTAAGCTCTTGAGGACTCTTGAATTTCAAAGTCACAGTGTGCTGGAGAGAAATACTCATGTGCAGCAAGGAAAAGTCTTGTAAAGTTTCCCTGTTCCCCTTGCTAACTGCCCTATACCATCTAACACTACACTCCAGAGCAGTGGAGAGAAGAACACTATGACAGAATGCAAAGGAAAAGTTGATTTTTTTCAAATAATAATCCAGCTCCCAGCCTTTCCATATCACTGTAATTCAGCGATTGAATTTACCACTATAAATATCTGCCTGAAGTGAATATCAAGGACAAAGGGACATTAACATAAATGTATTATTTTTTCTCACTTAACAAAAATCTTTTCTGTTTTTCTTAATCTTACTTTCCTGATCATTGCTAACTAGTAGAGTACAGGATTTGCATATCAATATAAAGACCGCTGGGAATATTCCACCCTGATCTACATTTTGTATAACACTATTAAATGGAGTAGCGCAGGGATGTCATTCAGGATAGAATTTGGCTAATTTCAACTTCCTAATGACATTTTCCCTCTAATACCAACAATAGATTTTAACTTGCAATATATCAGGGTTTCCAGTATATCAGCATTTTCAATGTACTGTACTTATGTGAGCCACTTAATTGAGCAAGGTGAAGAGTGAGAAAATAAACTCCATGAATATTCATTCCCGGTATAATTTAGAGGCTGCTACTCCCTGTTGCTGATATTCCAGCAGTGACTGTGCATTCAGAATTTTATTAGTGCAAGGGCTTACACAAGCAAATATTACATTGAAGTTTGATATATTTGCACAGGTTGAGATTTCACTTGGCTTCTTTTATATATTTTTGCTGGGAATCTTCTCCTGGTAGACATATTTTTTTAGTCATGCAGACAAATGCTTTATGACATACCTGACTATCATTTGCAGGTCCATCTGAATTGCTGGACATGACAGACAGTGAAACGTAAGTACAACCTACTCTGTCCTTCATGTTATCTGTGTTAAACCAGCAGACTCCTCTTGATTTTCAAGTGCAGACTGTTAAGTAGGAAAAAGCATGTAAAATGGCACAACTCTTCAGAAACAAACAAACAAACAGAAGGCCCCCTAAAAACCACATATCAACCACCTCATATGTGGCTTTCTTGCCTAAAAAAAAAACATTAATTGGATTAACAGAGGACTTTCTCCCTATTGGTTCCCATGCTTCCTTAATCTTTCTGCCTTGTGTTTTGATGTTTCTGGCCTCCAGCTACTAAGGGACCAACCTGAAGAGTAAATTCCAAAAATTCCTAAAGTCAGGAAATTACTTTTCTTGCTTGCCACCTTTCTTTTCAGTTCGTTCTTGATTCACCCAGGGTGCTCTGCCTTAGCTCTCCCAAGTGGCCAGGACTGGTGCAATTGAGGGTTTCCATCAAGTAGTTAAAACATCAATCAGATCCATTCTTATTTAAAAGAAAAAGAAAAAAAAAAAAAAAAAACAAAAAAACCCCAAACAAATTATTTTCCTTTCCAATTCCCAATTTTTTTACGTTTTGTATAATCAAAGTTCCACAAAAGTATGCAAGGGAAGCATGAATAATCCTGGAAAATATGTGTAATACATATGAAATAAAAACAGCCTTTCTCATAGGGATCAAGCCTACCATTTCTCATCCCACAGTGCCCTTCTCTGCTGACAGAGAGCACCTTTTGCACAAGGTGCATGAGCAAAGTCCAGAGGTGACAGGGATGGGATGGACTGCCTGGTTCTTTTCATCCAGGGATGTAGCACAACCACAGAGTGTCAATGAGCACAGCTATGAGGGCTTCCCTTTACTGAGGTTCCTCTGCCTCTAACTCTTGGAAAGGGAAGGTTCAAGCTGTAACTGGCAGTATGAATTTGTCTTTTGGTCCTCAGGGGAAAATAGGATGGTATCCTATTCTGATACTGGTTCTGGTGCAGCAAGGGCATATTGATCACAAGATTGCCTCTTAATATTTCAACATCCCCTGTCATGGATGGGGGCTGAGATTCCTTTATGTACTCTGTGTAGGTAGGTGCAAGATTTGTCCTGCTACATCTATTTCTTGTAATTTATTTCACAAGTTATGTAATGGCCCTACTTGTTGGATACTGGTATTAAGGACTCCTTTTCAACCCACTCAAAACATACTTTCCTCTTCTTCCTAGGCAAATCTAGATAGATTTCTTTACTCTCAATAAAGAGTAAGTAAGTTTCAGCCAGTTCCAGAATCCTGTCAGACTTAGCTCCAGTCTGAGTGAGAAGCTTTGCAACAAATATGCTCCCACCACACAGTCTTCTCTTTTGGAAAGCATGCATTTAATCTTCCCCAGTAGCTCAGCAGTCCAGTGGCGCAAAACACATGAGAGCTCCAAGAGAGCAGGAAATCAGAACTGTGGCAACAAGTGCACCAGTCATAGCTTTGGTGGGTATGATTTTTCTGGGATGTCTCCAAGAATGAGGTTGAGGAAAGAAATTGCAGGAAGAAACAAACCCTGTTGTTGTTTTGCCTGCTGTGTAATAAGAAGGCGGCTAGTTTGCCTTTGCAGCAGTTAACAGAGCTGGTGGTTGAATGGGAATGTGACATTCGGTCCTCTGACTACATAAAATCTGTCAATGTTTCTTTCCCATCCCTCAGAAGTTCTTCGTCTGCTATTTGTGCATTGCAGGCTTCCCTACTGAGTCAAAGGATGTAGATGCTAAGGGAGAGAGTGCACAAGCCTACCTCTGCCAGCAAGAGGGAACCTCGCAGAAATGCAGCATCCTTCTGTGTCTATCTGCTCCTCATGCTTCGTAAATGTGCATTGGTGTGATGTGTCTCACTGCTGGTTTCTGTACTTTGGTCTAGGGGTGAGACAGCATTACATAAGGCAGCCTGCCAGCGCCACCGCGCCGTCTGCCAGCTCCTGGTGGATGCGGGAGCCTCTCTGAGAAAGACAGACTCCAAGGTAACGCAGCTCCATCAGCCACCTACCAACCCCTGCAGCCCAGCGAGAGCATCCGGCCCCGCAGTTTGCATGGCTCAGGCTTCCTTGTGTGTGCCTAGGGCAGCTCCATTTTAAGCCAGCTAATTTTATAGAGAAAACTGTATTGATTTTAACAAACACAAGAGACTTCAGTTCAGTCCCCAACATGGGTCACTGTCACCATAGTGAGAGCCTGGCCTCAAACTATTCGGTGCATTGGGTGTGAATGAGACATTTCCATAGCACAGCAGTATCCTCCTCCTGTGTGGTCACAGGAGAGGCCTGTGGGCAAGGACCACCTGCAGGAGCCTTGGTTTCTGATTGCACAGCATCTGTGAGGCTTGGTTGTTGTGGCTGACTTGCTTTGTGAGGATGGATAACTATTTTCTTTTGCCTTGGCTTGCCCCTGTGCTCACTGGCGTGACACTAACCACAGCACTTTCTTGGTGTAAGCTTGCCTGAAAAAGAAATCTGGGAAAAATGAAATCCAGGGAATATTCTGTCATTACAACAATCTGATTGCTTAGGAACATGGTCCAGAAGCTGCCTCTCTGGAGTTTCTGAGCACAAGCTCCCTGTGGTCAGCAGCTTGAGAGTGAGTTGGTTCTCTGGATTCCAGAGTCAGAAGCACCTTTGTTGCATTCAGGCAATCAAAACCAATTTCTGCCTTCTTGGGCTCTATAAGGTAGCCTGTAATGGGAAGAGAAGTCATCTATTATTCTGTCATCTCATGTTCAGGTGGCAGAATTGTACATTACAAAAAGCTTTCTGAAACAGATCAAATCCATACGAGTGGCTTCTGACTTGTTAACAATCTTGTGCCTAGAAATCATCAGTTGTTCTAAATGTGTTAGCACAAAACTTTCTCTTTGTGTTTCTTATTTACAGGGTAAGACCCCTCGTGACAGGGCTCAGCAAGCTGGTGATCCAGATCTGGCCTCCTACCTGGAGAGTCGACAAAACTATCAAATGGTTTCCCACGAGGATCTAGAGACAGCAGTCTGATGTCTGAACATGTCCGAGAGGATCCCTGGAAATCTCGAGACTGCACCTGAGGCACTCGGGCATCGGGTGAGGAAGAAACTGATGGAACCCACGTGTCTCTCACTCTCCAGGAAAATACCTGAGGACATGCCACCAGTTTCTAAGGGCTACTGAGCGTTACCACGGAACAGTTATGTTCCATAAGTTAGCCCATGATGGATGAGGTGGGACACTCAAAGGTCTGTGGAATCCATAGGCCACGAAAATTTACCTTTATTGCTTCCAGCAAGTAGCATGAACTTCTCCCATGTTCATCTGTATAATTTATTAAAAAAAAGAAAAAAAGGAAAGAGTAAAGAGGGTGTGGGGGAACAAAATCTAAACTAACTGGTACATTGAGCCACCCAACCAGGCTCTCCTCCATCCTTACAGTTTCCTGAATTGCTTTTATTCTCCTGTTCCCCTCACTTCTCATCAGTTAAATATTACCTGTTATCTCTGTGTTGTCTTCACAAATGGTCAGGCAGTAGCAAAATGTTTGAGGAGCTCTGGATGTCCTTAAGAAATATCCAGTGTTTTTACCGGCTACATTCCCTCCCCTGCCATCCTCCTGGAAGCTGCATTGTCAGTAGCCAGCCCCCTCGGAGTTTCCTTGCTTTTGGAGAGGATGCTGCTTATTGCCTTGTTTCCCAGGGTTTGGGGCACAGTCATATTTACAGCAGTGACAAAACCCAACCTCATCATTGCTGGGCATACGGTTATGGTATCCTCACAAGACAGGCATTTGTATGGAAAGGAGTTCTATGGGATTTAGCATGCTGAGTGGCAGAGCAGAAAGTCACCAGGAAGGTTTATCATATCACTCTTGTGCATGTGATGGCTGAACCAGTTCTTCTCAGGTTTCAGGCCTGAAAGAAGTTGATAGCTGTTCTTTACTTCTGAAAAAATGGGTTTTCTACTGGGGAGAGATTTGTGCAAGACTGAGAGAATTCTGATGGACTCAATGACAGACCTATTCCCCTTTGCAGCACAGCCAGAGGGAGGAAGGAGCCCTGGAACATCAGCAGCCAGCCTGGGCTCGCTGCTGCCAACAAACAAATGGGCACTGGCCATTGGGAATGGGAAAACCTTCTTTGACTGAACCTGTAAACTATCTGATTTTTCAAGGGAACCAAGTTTTGGGGAGTCCGTCCCTGGAGAAAGACAAGCAGCAGCTCTTTGCCTTGTTACCCACACTAGGTTTGAAGTGTAAAGCTTAGCTGCTGTAAAGGCCAGCTGTGTCTTCTGCATTCATCTGTTCTCTGTCTTATAACCATAAAAGAAGAGAAAGAAAAGAAATACACAGGCATAAATAAAATGTTTCATCTTTGGGTTTCCAATTGCTACAGATATCTCAGTTGACAAAATAGCAGAGCTTCCACTTCTACTTTGTCAGACCAGTGCCCATGAAGACGCTCATGGCTGACTTTTGACATAACTCTTGCAATACATTTTTGAATTTTGCTTTGGAAAGATCCACCAGTGTTTGTTTCCACATCCTTTGCCAGGGGTAGCTCTCTGATAATGTTGATCATTGGGGTTACATACATTTGGAAACCATGAAAATAACTCAGGTCATTATCCAGATAAGTTTTTCTTCTGTGGTAGAAGTGGAGAAAAATCAAATGAATGCTTTTTCTTTTTTTTTTTTTTTTTTTTTTTTTTAAGCACGAGTGATTGTTGTGGTAGGGAGTGGGGAGCTGAACAATATATTTTAATTTTTTTTCCTCTTTTCAAAGGTTCATTTGATATGGGCAAAATATTTCTTTAGTATTTCTTCCTCTGGAAGGAAACTATATATATTTGTAATCTATAGATCAATGGCAACATGAAATGTATTTTGTCTTATTTTCTGTCTTTACCTTTCTCATTTGAAAAATAAAGAATGAAAGCCAAATTACTTCCCTTGATAATTATCCAGGGGCTTGTGGAGAAAATAAGTGTGTGTATATATTAGAACAGAATTTGGCAACTGTTAAAATAAAAACTCAGAATATAGTTTTGGTGTATGTGATATTTCCACAAGGAAAAATCCTCACACTGTGGTTTCATGATAGGCCTTGCATCATTTCCCAGCTGTGAGAAAAGACATTACTGTAATATTTCTATACATTTGATGAAAACAACAATTATGTTATCATCACTTTAATCTTTTGGTTTGCTTTACTGATCTGAGAAATGGAGGAGGTTTCAATAGCACGGGAGCTTGGCTCTGTCCTTTGCTGAGGCCAACCTGAGTATGATCACTGAGCCTGTGAGAGCTCCCTCATCCTATAGTCCCATGAAGCAGCTTGCTTTCATCACAGGTAGCCTCCAGAGGCCAGATGTGGATTATGATAAAGGAGCTGCTTCTGGTCCCTCTGTCCCCAGTTGTCCTCCCCTTGCCAGTTCATCCCTGGTACCCAGGAGGTGCCTGCAGCTGTGGCTGGCTCTGGAGAAGCTTGGCAGGATGGGCAGATTTCCTGAGCAGTTTTGTGCCATTTGGACCGCTCAGAGGAACTCGGAGCACGCGAGAGAGCGTGGCTTGCCTTTTTCACCAAAAGCTGGAGTGCGATGGTACGATCAGAGTGAGCCTGTCGTGTCTCTGGAAAGCTGCCTGTGCTGTGTGCTCAGCAGGAGACTGCTACTGTATGATAAAAACAGCCCCTAGCACTGGAGGCAGGGCAGGAACGGGCTGGATGTGGTGCCTTTAACCTTGGCGGTGTCCTGAAGCGCTGCACACATGATGCGCTGGGTACTGGGGGTGTTTGCAGTCGCAGGTAACAGAGCACATCTGTTCTTTGCCACAACGGCTCCTGTGTGGTAAGGAATATCCGAAGTTGGTTCACCGAGGGGAGTTTGGGACCAGGACTATTCCTTTGCCTTTTCACATGTGGTGGGATTACCAGAAGCGGGCGGACTGCAGCAGTTAAAGGTAACTCATATGTATTGAATCTTTGGAGCACTTGGGGTCTAGATTAGTACAGTACAACTGTGCCTGCATTGGAAAGGGCCCAAATTCCAGCATGAAGCTGGGAGTCCACTTAAGTTACATGTAAAACATTTCCATTTACTAAAGCATCTGTTCAGTAGCTGTGTCTGTTAATGTGTGCATATTACTATATACATGTATATTTATAAATATCAGTATGCATGTATGTAGATGGACACATACACACACACACACTTAAAATTGTGTCATTTGAATGACAAAGCCCTTAGGGGTACTCAGCTACTGAGATTGCTGGACTGGCAAAATGTCATTTTCCATTTTAATTTGTTATTAAAGGGAAGCTTTTACAGTAGAACTGAGGAGCTTCCAAATTGTTCCATTGTACTGGTTTTACTATCTCGTTTTGAAGTTAAATGGAGGGAAAGAAAGTATTTATAATGTTGATAAAATAAACTTAATTTTGTAATTTAATAGCATCAGTTACTCTTATTATTAAATGTTTCAATGCTAGAGGTATCTTTTGTGTGTTATTCAAGGCATGATGATGTAATACTTTTTTTACTCATTATAGCATAGAATGGCAGTGGACAGGGTCACCTTGCACTAGACCAGGCTGCTCAGAGCTCCATCTAAGCTGACCTTGGACACTTCCAGGGATGGGTCATCTACAACTTCTCTGGGCATCCCTCAGTACTGTGAGATGTGAAGCTGAGTTTTTGCTTATATAAAACAGCGGTTCAAGGCAAATTTTGCCTGTTACAAACAGGTGTCAGACTCCAGTGGCCCTTTCACCATTTCATGTAGTGTCTTGCTTGTCTGTGTTTTAGCACTTTAAGATGTTTGTAGGTGTTTTTACTGAAAACCAAGGTGGTTTCACTCTTGCTTTTCCCCAGTAGCAGTAGAATAGCTCAGTCCCAACTCATGGTGCTGTAGCCTGGATTCAGTCTAAATGACATATCCTCTGCTATATGAGGACTGTCATACAACAGAACCATAGACAAAGAAAATAGTACAAAATTGATGTTTTGTTGCCAGTGCTCTTCCCAGGTGTATTTGCTGAGCCGGTAATGTTGTGTAAGAATAGATGTGGCACATAGTTTTTCTGGTGGTGTGGCTGTGGGAGGTTTGTTTCAGTAATATTTCATGGCTCTTTGGCTCATTTTTGTCTTTGTTTTTGCTGTGGCAGTGAAACATATGGTAGTGAAAGTTTCTAACACAAATTCATCTAGAAAGGGGCTGTTTCCCTTTCAGCCATCCCAGATGCCTCCTGTGGGATCTGCTTATGTGTTGACCCTTCCAGGATGACAAAAGTATGCTAACATGATCTGTCTCTGAGGTATGAAATGGACAAGATACATTGGTAGCCTCAAGTTTTCTGAGAGTTTAATAGTAGTCAAAAAATGTATGGACATGCTGGAAATTTGAATGCCTTGAAAAAGCCCCAAGGAAATTCTGTCCTTGTAGTTTATCTACTACAAGAAAAAAGCAGTTGCCTGTGCTGATCCATTTGAGGTGTGTCATTTTCCTTCTCCCACTTTTTGCTTCTTTTGCACCAAATATCTATAGAAAAGTATTTTATTAGACTTGTTTTTAAGCTTGCTACAAGTAACATTTTGACCTCCATTTTACCTATTCTTTTCCATTAATAAGATAATGTTTCCTCTTTTTATTTTCCTCAGTGAATCTGAGCCAAAATGACACTGGGTTATTAATTTCCTAATTAAGCTAAAGCATCAAATGTGAGTATCTTTGGACATTTCAGCAGTCCTGGAAACAGCGTATATTCCTGTGCCTTTCTGGATGTATGTGAAGCTACAGGAAACAGTATTAGAGTGCTCACTGTGGTACTCATCATCTCTTTTTCCTTTCTTAACAACTATTTTTCTTAGCAATGGGTTGCTAAAGCCTTAAATTCCATGAGCTGCCTGCCAAAATCTGTTGATTGCAACAGCAATTCAGTGATGTGGAGCAAGCTACTCCAGGTGGCCACGGCAAGTGACCATGGCTGCTTTTAGCCCAGGTTCTGCCGTGGCACTGGACTTGTCTGAGGTGCCTGCCTGAGAGCCCCTGCAGGTACCAGAGCTCAGGGGCTTCCCCTGCCCGGCTGTTTCCAGCACCACTGCCCTGGTGGTGCCCACAGAGAGTAGTGTTCTCTCATCCCCTGCACACGTGCACTGGAGCAACACCCCCTGCCTTGGCCAAGGAATTTCCTGGCCCACATATGGTGCCATTTGTAAAAATTCCCTCCCTCGGGCCTTGATCACACCAGTAAATTCATTACATTTGACTTCAGTGATTAGGCAGGCTTAGAGCTGAATAACCTTACTGTATTCAGCCATCAGAGTGCATCTTGTCTCCTGCCTTATTTATAAGGTGCCACATTCCAGTCTCAGCTGCAGTTTCTTGTTTCCCTGACTGATTTAAAAAAACAACAACAAAAAAAACCCAAACCAAAAGACCAAAAACCCAATCCATCCTATGCAGTACACATGTATCTAGTTACCCAGAGAGTGGGGAAGGCAGGCAGATCATTTAAAAATCTCCTCATTCTGAGGTGACTTCTAAAGTCTGAGCAGAAGGAAGCCTTGCAACAAAAGCATTTGTTTCAATATTAACACATCTATATTTCAGGAAATAATTTGATGCTAAGCCCTGTTAAAACAGTCAGCTTAGATCACCTGTGTGTCAGGGATTTGGGGAATCTAAGGAGGCAGAAAATCTCTTGACAGACACATAAAGGTAGGTGAATGCCCAAAAGAGCAAAAAACCTGCTTTCTTCAAAAATCTGTTTCTATTTTGCTGCCCTCATCTACTAGAATCACAGCCCTGATTTGGGAATGCTATTTCAGAGTTCACCAATATTTTAACAGCCTCAGCGTTCATATGCAAAGTATATAGAAACTGTAGCATTTTGAAATGAAGAAAAAAAAGCACTATTTCTTTGAGCAATGTAATATTACATATATAATTGCCTCATCTCTTCCAGTCTCCTTTTGCTGGTGAAGTGCCACACCTGGCTCTTCAATTAGTCCCTGTCTGGGAGGCTGCTTGACATGTAGCCCAGCACTCAGTGAAGTGTGCACTATGGCAATCCAATGCCAAAGTGCTGCTGCAATTACCTAACTACTAGCACATGAACCACGTGAAATTCATTTCTTAGTGTTGCTCTTCATTTTAATGAGAAAAATGCCCTTCTGATTCCAGCTACCTTCAATTTCCACTCTTTTCCTCAACCTGTGGTCAAGAAAGGTAGAAAGTACTCTCTGTTCCTACACAATCCAAATCCTATCTAGGAACTGTACAAATCACTTAGGTTTGTAGGCGTGGAGAAGAAGCTCAAGAAGCTCTTGAGTCTGATGGAGCAGACCTGGGTGATTTCTACTTGTCTAATTAGGCTTTAATAAGCAGACCCACTTTTCTAGGGCTGCTTTTCCTGTGTGACATTCACATAAAAAAATGAAAGATGACAAAATTAGAAAAGCAAAGTTAAGCTGGCCCTGGAAATGGGGAATTCTACAGAATGGCTTCCACATGCATTGCTCTTTTCTAGATAGGGGGTTGCAATACTACTTCTTGAATGACACTGTAATGAATAATTATGTATCATAATTAGATATATCTAGTTTTAATAGCGAGGTGGGTGCTCACTGTGTCCAATATTTATATCACCCAGATGCAGAGGTATTCCTGCCCCTGCAGAAATAACCAGACAGTCTGGAGGGGGACACCCTTCAGTTTGCAAAGCTCGAGGCTTTGTGAAGTGAGACATGAGCCCTAAGATGAGCAAGGACAGCCCTCCCTGCTCCTTAGCCATGCTGGAGGCTCTCCTTCCAAATGAATGGAGGCAATGCCACATGAAAATAAATGTTTGCTGTAGGTCACAAAGTGAATAGCTGTTCTTCTCCTGTCTCCTGCTTCGGCCCTTTTCCAGGACCATTTTTATTTCCCTTCAGAATGGGAATTCTGTTGGTGTGCCTGTTTACTAGAAGATGGGTGCAGTTGTGGTTGTCATCTGTGGTCTTGCTACTGAAGTAGCCCTTGTGTTATTTCCCCTGCATGGCACAGGGGAGGAGTACAGTCATGTCAAAGCTAAGGAAAAAAGTAACCTTGCTGGCAGCTAATGACAGGAAGGAAATAGAACATAATATTATTTAAATTTAATTTTAAATATTCTTCAGTGCTCTTTGCTTTTCCTTCTTTTCCCCTCCCTTTTAGAGTTTCTGAAGTCTTTAATCTTTCATCACCTCTTATTGCCTTAGTTGATTCTACCTTCATTTTTGACTGGAAAGGTCAAGATTCTGCTCATGTGCTTACCCTTGGGACACTTCTGCTTGACCAGTCACAGATGGTTGGATCTCCTCTGACCATGTACAGACATGGGTAGGGAATGCTGAAATTCTCTGTACTAGGAATGAGCTGGATGTGCAGTACTAAAGGCTCCTCTGAGGGCAGTAATGCCCAAGTTGTAATCTAAGGATTAAACAGATGGGAAGTAGGATGGACTTGGGTTTTTCATACCTGAGGGCTCGATTTCAGCCTTTCCAGACTTAGTTTTAATATCAATAGAAAAATTCTTATGCCTATATTTTTTTTTGTCTACTCTCATGTTTCTTCCCTTTGTGATTTTCCTGTTAAAAAAATCTTTGCCTGTGCAAATGTAATTTTGTTGCTCTGTGCTTATGCTTGCAAGAAGAGGCAGCTGCTTCCAACTGGCAAGCGAGCGTGCTGGTTTCTCATGCAAAATGGCTGGCTTTGCTACTGTACAGTTTTCTGCTCAGCATGTACTCACAGAAATCACAGGGAGATGGCAGGGGCTTATCAGGATTTTTTGTTCCATTTACATGTCACTGCAGAGTGATTCTCTTCCATCTACCTCCTTTGATCACGCAACAGCTTTGGGAGGAAAGAAAAGAAGTGGCTGAGCCTTCAAAGCACCAAGCAGCTCTAGGGAGCTTTGTCTCTCCCCTAGCTTGCTGCTGCACCTCACAGGGCTGGGAGGGGGAAAGCAGGGGATGCTTTATGTGCAGAAAGATCAACCTCACACCTCACTGGCAAAAGTAACAACTCTTTGAGGAGACCTGTTCTGAAACCCTACCACTGCCAGGTAAAATACATATGGACATCAGCAAGCCTGTAGGGGCTGACTTCCTTTCCTAAGGGCTCTTCCAAGCACATTTTGATTCTCTTCCTGGTGCCTCAGGACAGGGATTCCTGCCTGTGTCTTCCCAGAGCAATCATGCTGAGGATGCCCTTTGTAATGGGTACATGTGCCCTGTGTCCTGTAACTCCATTGGAAAACAAAATAATCAAGAGTTAAAATCCCTTTCAAAATGGACTTAGGAACTTGGCCACAGACCCACCAGGGTGCAGTGACTGGGGAGGGGAATATGGAATGGAATATGACTGCCAACATTTCTCTGTATGAAATCTCCTCAAGGTGAAATGCGCTTTCACAGTGGGAAATGAAGGTTATTTTTCTCCTGCCCATATTATTTTCTGCTGCAAGCCCTGTGCCAGTCATTTTGGACGCAGACAGCTTTTTGGAAGCAGGAGGCTTTTGAAAGATTTTTGAAAGTCTAGCCAATGATGAAGCTGAGAACTTGTGTTCTGCAGCTCCCACACAAACCTTCTGGCAGTCCGTGGAGGTTTCAGTGTCCTCTCTGAGTCAGTGAGCAGGATATTTAGCTACAAGCTACAGGCCTGCCTTTGTGCCATTGCTATTGCTGCTTTGCACAGCTTTTAGAATAGCTATGGTTTTGCAGCCTTGCACTGGGAAAAATCACAGTGGTGTGGGGGAAAACATGCTTTTCCTGTGGACACAAACACTCCTCAGCTGCAGTTTTGTGCTAATGAAAATGCAATGTATGTAGAGTCAGAGCTCGGTTTATGAGACTGTCACAGCTAGCTCGGTGAGGATTTATTTCCAGCAAGACCTGACTTGTTGTTTTGCTCCAAAACAAAGAAGATTATGCAAAAAATAATCACTTGGCTTAATGGTATGCTTCTGTCTTATGATAGTTAACAAGTTTAACTGTGTGCCACATGGTCGTGTCACAGAATAGGGAAAGTATTTGCTTTCAGAGTTTATGAGAATTCTCTCTGGAGGTACTAGGGCAGAAGAGATAGGGCCAAAGGTAGCAAATCACAGGATAGAATTTGTATTCCTGCTACTTCCATTGAGTCCTTTTGGGTAAATCATTTAGCCTTACTGTACCTCAGTTTTCTTATCTGTAAAATGGGGATAATATAATTTCCCCATACACAGCCAGGTAAGGTGTTTTGCGTTACAAGCCTGAAATGTGCTGTATATTAAATGGTTTTGAATTTTATGGGCTTTGGTTTTCTTGTTTCGTGGGTTTTTGTTTGTTTGGTTGGTTTTTTTGTGGTTTTGTTATTATTATTTTTTTTATTGTGACTTGTAATGTTACTCTTCTATAGCATCCTGCTTCTTCTGGAGCCATTTCTTGCTCCAGAGAGTGAGAGTAGGGTCTGTCCCATGCTTTTTAGTTTAACTGGTTTAAATTGAGATAGTAAGAGGGATGGAGAATGAGAATTTTCCAATGAGCTATTTTGCACTTTTCATGCTTGATTTCCATGTTTGAACTATCTTGTATTAAAAGTTGTAACTCAGGTAATATTTCAAGTCAATGAAAGCATTCAGGTGGTTTATCTCTCTTCAGGGAAGAGTATTTTGCTGAATTTTAGAACAGCTTTATTCCATCGTATTGAGTTCATTGAGCACAGAATGTTTCCTTTGGGAGTGCCCATCTCAGAAATAACTCTTTCTGTCACCTCTCTGCTATTATGCTGGTATGACAGAATACTATGTAAGAGTCCAGAAATCACCACTTTGGTTTGTTGATGTGAAAGGTTTCTGGGGAATGGAGAGAAACATTTGAGGGAACAGATTCTCTGGCCTTCACATTAACATCTCCTCTGGCCACCTGGCAAATGGGAGATGAAAATTGGTAAAGTACAAGGGCAAGGGTTAGCAAAGATTTAGGGAGCTGGAAATGCTTCATGTGAAAAGGAAGGAGGTTTGGAAGGAGTCATCAAGACCAAGAAGGAGTGGGATGGTAATGAACAGACTCTTGATGGAAAGGCTGAGCTGCATCAGGCTATATATATGTAGATAGATAGATACTTTCTGGAGATGGTGGAGAAGGGACATTGGGCAGATTTTGATCTCCTCTGCACTAGCTTCACTCCTGGTGAACCAAGATGTGATTGAGGTCAGAACCTGGACCATTCCATAATGTGTTTGGCCCCCTGAACCGAGCAGTAAATTCAAATAACAAATGAGCATTTTTAACCTACATTTTGTGGGCATCCAGAGTTCCAGTATTTGTATATACCCTACTATCTGAACCCACATCTGTTCCAGGAGTTGTAATAACATCTCAAAGGGCTCTTTTATGCTACCTGGCCCTGTGCATAATGCGCTGGAGCATCTTGAGGCTGCCAGCTGGCAAAAGGAACCTGAGGCACGCAGCAGTACTGAGGAATGGAAGATATATGTTTAACAGTGAATCAAGGCACAGGTAATAATCAGTGAGGGGGAATACAAGAAGAAGGAGGGGCTTTTTGTAACAAAGTAAGAAAGTATTTTCTTCCACAATTTTATTGCATTTCCTATTTATAAAAAGTATCTTGATCACTGTGTTGCTAACTAAGGAGATTTTAAACTGGGGGAAGGACGAAATATGTATACAGTGAAAGAGCTGGTAACTGTTCCTTTTGGACACTTTTTCTGTATTGTGACTTGTGTGGAAATGTACAGAATAAAAAATGAAGAAGCGCATGCCTTGGCTGGGCTCAGTTTCTTTGTGTTATTTGCCAGCAGAGCTGGGCTGCTGCTTCTGGTGGAGTGGAAAGACTGGTGTGACTTGGAAGTTGTGAAGAGTTAGGGGCAGTGTAGGAAAGTGACACAGGGATCAAAATCTGCATATGGGTGTATATGTGCATATCTGCTGGTGTAGAGAAGGGAGTGTTAAGCCTCTGGATAAATCAGCTTCAAGTTCATGGTAAAGAAAAAGGTTAATGATACCTTCCAATATTTCCAGGAACATCTCAGTCCCTTAGTAAACTCAGATTGCCAGCACAGCATTCAGTGCGTGCAGGAGAGATCCAGCAGAGATTGGCAGGACTGTAACGTAGGTGTGTAAGTCACCTCAGGATCTTAGCTATGCATCTCAGGAGAGTTTCTCCAGTGCATTCTCTGGTTCACCTCCATGTTATCTCAGGACCAACTCATAAGCATATAATGAAACTTTGCTTGTTTCTGCCCAGCTGTATCTGATGGAAAATTTTTGAGAATTTCATGCCCATTGCTTGCTTTCTTGTCTTCAGCAGCTTCCCTCCCTGACTCACTCAGGAGTTCCTGAGCCATTTCTGACACAAAAGTTTTGTAACCTCTCTTCTGTACAAGTCAATATTTCCTAACAGCTCCCCTGCCTCTGCTGTCCCACCCTGAAATTGTATTTCTGAATAATTCTGTGATGTTTCCTTTGTCCTGTCTCTCTGGGACAGTGCCTGCCCCCAAAACACCTCCCTCACACATGGTTCTGTCTCCCTCCTCCACTTAAGCCCTTTGATGCTCGCTGCTGTTGCCAGCAGCCAGCTGTGTGCTTGTCTTTTAAAGGATGTCTTAAGCTCCCTTTTCCTGCTGTCTCAGACAGCATAGGAATATTATAATTATTAATAAGAGTAGTGCTAAAAGCACTGACTGTTCTGCCTGTGCAGGACTGGCTGGGGCTGGACGAGGATGTAGCCCAGTCATGAGCTCCCTGCACAGCAAGGAACAACTACCAAGCGCTGCTTTGACGTCCATGAGCCCTGTGGTACAAAGCTCTGACTCCTCTGGGGTCCTTCACAGCCACCAGCTGCACCAAATGGCTGCCAGCTGCTCTCTGGAAATGTCTGTGGAGAAGAAGTGCTTTTTGATGTGCTCGGGGCTGCCCCCACAGCAACCTCTGGAGGTGCTCCACCACCTGCAGGCAGAGCTGCTCAGTGGTGCATCTGAAAAAAATGAGAAAACAGCTTTGCATCCTACTGGGTTTGCACCCCAAATTCTTGAATGTGTGTGGCCTTACACATGTTCTGAAGAGAGTCCAACTTTCTTTTCTCATCCATTGTAATTTGCCCTGTAATTTCAGCTGTTAACTGTTTCTAACACAGGGCTGTTTCTTGCTAACTATCCCTACAAAATTCTTTAATAGAGCTGGTGAAATTCATAACTATATATGCACACACACTCACATATATATATTAGAATACCTATCTCATAGGCTAATATACTTAACTGAGGAATTCCCTTTTTTGTGCAACCTTTCTTTACATATGAAATGTAATGTTTCTTTAAAAAGCTAAGGCTTTCATAGTAGGAATGTAACTACAATGAAAACAATAAAGCCCCATTCTTGGGAGGAAAAAACCCAATCCTGACAGGAATTATTTGCTTTGAAACCTTTTCTCCCCAAAACTCCCACAGCTTCACCACAGCCAAGTGATTTCAGCATTTCCCTGCAGTTAAAATATGGCTCTCCCTAACAAGGGACCTTTTAAACTAGGTAGTGATGCTTGTAAGACATGTTGCCAAGGTTGTTAAGTCTAAAAATAGGTAAATATTGGAAGCAGTCACATAATTTCAAGGTGTTTGATCTCATGTTTTCACATTCAAGGCTTGATATTGCTACATGAGTATAGTATTTGCAGCTGTATTAGCTCACAGCAGCACACAAAAACCTTCAGAGGTGCACCCTCTCTGCTTCTGCTCACCTATCCACAATCTAAATTGGCAGCAGGGATGTGTGAGAGTGTGTTTGTCAGGAGCTGTTGCTATGTGAGTGTGGAGTTAAAGTATTAGTGAGTCAAGTGCATGGTTTCTGCTGCTCTCATACAGTAAGGCAAGCAGTTCTGCAGTATTAAAGGTGAGCTTTAATACTGAGGTGATTTCCAAGATGCAGAAAAAGAAAGGCTTTGTTTCCCATGGATAAGAAACAGGAGTTGGCTGCTGGGTGCTGATTCAGATGGGCAATCTGTAGATGACAGGAAGCCAGGAGAATGGAGCACTGCCTGGTTAATGCCTTTAAAGAGTTTGTTATCAGGGAACTAAATAAAATCAGTAGGACTGACTGTCAGAAGCACTTCTGACTGCAACCTCCATTGCTCTCCATTTGTCTCCAAAGCATGTAAGACCTTGAGAGGGAGCCACAGAAGTTTTAGCTTTTGGATGAAACTTCTGCTAAAATTAGAGGGAGGAGGAGGCGTCTCACCAAAGGATATGTGTAGACCTGTCCAGGAGGAAGTTCTGTTACTCTCCACAAAACATGGAGGCCACAGAGTAGTCAGAATATGTTTTATTGTTGTTGGTTGGTTGGCTTTTTTAAGGGTGATAAGGGAATGAAGAAGTGACTTAAAAGGGAAAGAATAAGATTAAAAATGTAGTTCTGAATACTTTGGATTCCAAAGCCATCAAACCGGAGTGACCTTGAGCCAAAAACAATGTTAGTGTTCGGTGTCTAGATTTTCGGGGTTTTCTTCTTGATATAATCAGCCAACAGGCTGAGGACTGTGTTTGCTTTAAACAGGGTATGATTACCTTCTCTTTTTGTTAATGCATGTATGTACCTCATAAATTTCTTCACTGACAGAGCTGATGATATTCTAATAAGCTCTGGTCTTTCTCAGTCCATTTATGAACACATACTTAGCTCCAGGAGTATCTGTGTTTTGCTAATGGGTCTCACTATCATCCCTGAGGTACATCCTAATGGGATGCAAGGCTCCATATAAATATAAGGGGTTATTATTCTGGCTGCTCACTCTTTTTCCTTGTTCCTCCCTTCTGCCTTTTATGAAATGTATAATGAAAGGGCAGATATGAACAGTGGTGTCCAGCTGAATGAGATGATTGTACAGTAAGGGGTCACTGGATAACCAGGAGTTTCTCCATGTAACAATGCTATTAAAAGTTCTTGTTAGTTTTTCCAGTCACTTAAAGGTTTTTTTATAGCTTGAAGTTTTCACTAATACAAAACAAAGTGAGTAGTGTCTGATTTAAAAGGTCACCCTGAAATTCTTATACTGAATTTGCAGTCAAACTGATTTTTACTTGCAGTGCCCATCTCTAAGAAGTGACCTCCTAATGGGAGAGCAAGGTCAGTATTGCAGTGCTTTGGAGATCATCTATGGCTTTTCTTCACCTTTTAATAATGAAGGAGGTCCAATCTGTAGCCAGAAATTAAGCACATTTGTGCTTATGTGGGGGAAAGAGAATAAGGGCTAATTAGGATTATGAAGTGCTGTTTGATTTAGAATGCCAATACTTTCTGACCTTCTCATTTAAGATTTCTTTTTATTAAAGTTTCTGTCATTTCCTGTATTCTGATTTTGAAAATTCAGCAATACAGGATCTGATTAACTTTTTTTTTTTTTGTTATTATTAATAACAAACACTGAGATTAATCTTTCCAGAGTATTGATTCACAGTTCCTTCTAAATGGCAGCCTTTTTCAATGTCTCAACTCAGTCATCCAATAAAAAAGACATTTGTAAAAATGGCCATATGTATGTCTAAGGTAAAGGGTCTGGAGCAAGGGTCTGAAGAGGAGCAGCTGTGGGAGTTGAGGTTGTTCAGCCTGGAGAAAAGGAGGCTCATGGGAGACCTTGTTGTTCTCTAACATTACCTGAGAGCAAGTGATGGTACAAGAGGAAATAGCCTTGAGCTCTGCCTGGTGAGGTTTAGATTGGATTTTAGGAAAATTCTCTTGAACAAAAGGGTTGGCAAGCACTAAAACAGGCTGTCCTGGGAAATGGTTGTGTTGGAGCCACTGGAGGAATTAAAAAACTGTGTAGATGTGGCTTTTAGTGATGTGGTTTAGTGGTGGACTTGACAGTGTTTGGTTAATGGTTGGACTGATCTTAAAGGTCCTTTCCAATCTAAATGATTTTGTGATTCTATGAAGATCTTGGACCAAGGATTTGGGAATGGCAGATAATTCAGGAACTTCATTGCCATTGGCCAAAGCTAGTTTCTCTGCTTTAGATTCTTTCTTACTACCTGTGTCTTGAGGAAACAAAACTTTCTGGTGTGAGAAACTAATATTCTGTTTCCAGACTGTGATGTCCAGCTCTGGCTGTCTCAGATCTGAACTTTGGTCCTATCCAGGCATATTGAACCTTCCTGCTGCTGCTGCCCTTTTTTCCTAACCAATATGAGGTTTTTTAGAAGCTCTTTGTTATGTTTCCTCACTAGATTACAGAAACAATTTGTGTATATTATATAACCTATACATAAATATAAATTGTATGATACAAATGTAGACGAATTTATGTTGGTGGGAACATCTGACCCCGTCTTGCACTCAAACCAGGGTCAACTTTGTGGTTAGGGCAGGATTATCAGGGTTGGATCCTTGCATTTAGGACCCTTATATAGGTCATACCAAGGCCTTCCTTGGATTTTTATGAATGCAGAAAGAAAGTAAAAAGTAGTTGCTATAAGGAACAGGGAATATGAATTGACAAATAGAAACACAGAATGTGTATAATTTTCAGAATCAGGTGCTGAACACACCACAGACAGCTAAATAGAGGCTCCTTTACTCAAAGTCACCCAGGAAATCACTCGTGGGTGTAAAGAATAGACCTGTAAGTCCTCTGACTCCCACTATGTTAACCTCACATCTGGCAAATTCTGTTGTGCTGTGTGTCTCCTATTGAATTTTCCAGTTTCTGCAGTCTCTTGTGCCAAAGGTATTTTCATGAACTTATGCACTTCTCTTTCAGTTGTTAGGGTTT